GGTAAATGCTCCGGCCACACTGCCACAGCTGTCTCAAAAAATGCGGTTTGTCTTTTGGTATCTACGGTGCTGGGTATCATGATATCTGCGGCAGCGTTAAAACGGCGGGGTTCTTTTGATCATGTACGGAGTGCTTGAACTTGAGTCCAAAGTGCAACAGGTGAAATGGTGAACTTGCATTAAAATAATGCACGTTTGCATTCATGTCATTTGCCGTGCATGGAAAATGACTACATTTTTAGCATTTGATAGCTTTAAGTTATACAAATTTGACGTCTTGTATTTGTAGTACAAAATTTGTGTTCAGACACAATGCATTTCAAGCATGACATGCTGAACTCGAGCCACAAAAAATATTCGAGAACTCCCCCGCTTGTGAGTAAAGTAAGTGACTAGTAAGTAGGTACTTGGCGTGGTCAATACATCATTTGCTTCAGTCCATGGCAACGGCTAGCGAAGACTTGTTTGTGAGAGGCGTGAGCGCCTGCAGCTTGCAGACCTGTGACATGGTGCCTCATGTGTGAATATTGACTGCCGTTCGCGGTCTGGATGGCTACTCAGCGCTGTGTCCGAAATTTCCGGTCTGACCAGGTGCTAGAAGAACCTGTCTTTTAAGGCGATCAACGCCAGTCAGGTGGGAGCTGCCTGCACTTGCACGCCTGGCAACGAACGCGGAAGGCATCCTTTCCCTCATTCCATTTGCCCCTGGAGGCACGAAATCAAGACCAGCTTGCCACTTGAGAAATATAATGGCGTTGAGCCTGGCCCGTTCAGGTCCACCAGCAAATTTCTAGGCCAGCCTGAACCCTGGATCATGTTTGCATGACATCCTTTTTGCATAAGCATGTGCCCTGTTTGCGCCTTGATTAAAGCGGACCGTGAAATATGCATTTATGCCAGCGCATGCTCTGATGAAACGCCTCACCGCATCCGCACGGAGACGTAAAAACAGGCACAATATGTCGCATGTTAGTTTATGGACGAAAAAATGCGCATGAAGGCGAATGTAGCAAAAATGCGGCATAATGTTCCGGAACAAGGACTTGAAACATTGCGGGCTTATGGTGAAGAAAATTTGATTTTTTTCAAGCAAAGTGGGGAAGACATGGTAGTGTTTATCATCTTCGAACAAAAATAAGCGTCTGGGTAAGACCAGAGGACGAACAAGGTTGGCATGTGTTATTCAGCTTACTTCACTTTGAATAATTCGTTGACCTAACTGACGTTATCTGTTTTCTTAATAATAATAAAGATTGTTGCTTCACACTTCAACGACTGGCACGGCCATTTCGAGACGGATGCCTTTATGAGGTGTCATGTGAGAGGTGGTGGTGACGTGGCAGAGGCTCGAACCCAAGACCGACAGGTCCAAAGCACCCCAACCACTTCACCACCAGCACCTCTACCACCCATTTATTATAGCCGCATCATAGCATTGCCATCATTTGCCCACCACCACCCATTTACCAGTGCCGTTCCCTTCGTGGGATATTATTCCACGTTCACTTAAATTGCATGGCATGTGTCATGTGCCGCTGTGAAATGACAAAAACTTGACTTATTAAAGTCACCTTGTTGCTCTCCAGACAGGAGGCTCAATCTCAGAGACCTGGCAGGCCTCGAACCAAACCTCCCTTGTAATTGGGGCTTTACAACGCACTCAACTTCTGGGGCTATATGGCGTCGCCTGCCTCTCACTCTGGCGGACAGGCACTGCCGGGAATCAAACCCCTACTTCCGGTTTCCCAGACTCGCGGCTTTACCACTGCCCTATCGGTGTCCCGATAAGAAACGGAACTTTTTTGCCAAACATTTACTTCTTACACGCCATCAGGCCAGCCAAGTTAGCGGCACTATCTTACACTGACCACTTCCCGCAGTCAGCAGGATCGCCATGGCCCTTGAGGGGCGATCGCCCTCCCGCGTGGAGGGAGCTGATGCAATCAATGACATTCGGGGAGGGTGGCAAGGCAGTGATGCAAGTGATATGCCGTTTGTACCAATTGCGTCTTATTCCAGTCATGTGCACACAGTCTGTGTGGATTTAGGTAGTCGAAGTGATTTGCTGTGAATACGAAAGCCTCTCGGTTGCTGGCTTATGTCTTGACTGCACTGATCTCTCTTCATCATACCGCGACAAACTGGTTGAATAAATCGCGATTGGAAATGCCGTGAATTCAAAAGGATACATACATCTTTCTGGCATGACCCATGCCCAAACACCGAGCCATCTGCAATAAATAATGTCTAAGAAATTGTGTTTTTACTTCTCGTTGTTCCATATCTATTTTTCTTTTGTTCTATGCCTCTACAAAACTTCGGTTGCCCGATTCATAACTGCATAAAAACTATTAGCAAGACATTTTCGAGTCGGGTGGTGAGATTTATTTCATGGATCAGTCTACTCATCAAAGACCACACAGGTAATGGGAGAACCAGGGAATCCTTGACCCACAAGGCTCTTTGCCTGCTTTCTGAAATCCAAGAATAGTCTCCGCGTTGTTCGTCATTTTTTTGATCGTGGTGCACTTCCCTATCACGCGACCTCACAAAACGTAAGATATTTAAGAAAGACGACCGAAGATTGGCGGCGCTTGAAAAGGACGGCCTCTCACAGACAAACCTGTGCCTCATTCCGGTTCAGTGGGATTTGTTCTGATTGATACAGTGCATGGGATTGTTTCTGACCTCACCTCTGAACGCCACAGCACAGCTCTGAATTGTCTCTGATTCCGACCAAATAACAAATGGCGCAATGCCGCAATCGATTACGATGTAGTCGCTCCCAGTGACAGCGATCCATGTAATAAACCGTCTAAATATTAAGTGTGGCAACCAATACATGCATACATTACTGTGCTCTCTATATGTCGCATATAAGCTGACATGCTATGGATTTATTTTGTTATCAACCTTTACAGTCGTTTCAGCTCATCTTTGATTTGTTTTATACAGTTAAGGACATATATTGGACCACAACTGCGTTAGACTCCGACTTCAACCCACAACACATATTGAAAGAATCGATTTTTCCCTGAATCAACGTAAACTTGCTTGTGCCGCGGTCGACTGCGGCTTCTCCCGAGGTCAAGACCGCGGGAGCGCTGCAGTCGAGCCCCAGTCAGGGGGGGGGGGGGGTACGCCGCAATTCAGCGAAGTTGTTGAACCGCTCAAGCCTTTGGACGGAGCCATCGGCCGACGTGATGCAGCAGCATCTAATGCACTGTCGCTGTCAGGAGCTTTGCAACATGCTGCTGTCAGCAAGGGCTGTGATCCCAAGGTCTTTGCTCACTTAAAACATCCGGCAAAGTCTGCTTTGACAACTTGGTAGCTTAAGGCAGTTCATGTATTGTGAATGCCAGAAAGCTCCGGTAGGTATTTATAACTGTCATGTGATAGTCCGTAATTGTTTCAGATCTGCTAAAAACCCTGCAACCGACCAAAACCAAAAGCAAGTATGTCACGCTATTTCGTGAAAGGTGATTCGGGCTTTTGGTTTCAACAACAGAACGCAGATATCACCCTACCTTATATATTCCGCAATTTTACACACAAGCTGTAACCCGTATTACCATAACCCTCATAGCTGTGGATTTGCACTCCAACTATAACGCGCTGAGGGGTCGCGCCATACTTGATTGAGAGAGTTCGTTAGCACTGTCTTCCTTAGGTACCGCCACCAAAGGGGGATGGTGCTACTCTGGATCATACTCTGGACCCTTCAGAACAAATTTAAGATAGCTGGTCGGCATGCGCTACAGATATCAGTGGTTGGTGACTGGCAGATGTCTTAAGAGCGCAAAATAGATGCCCTGTAGGGTTCAGCCTTAAGCAGCATAGTATAAGTACAGGTGCCTGCAATTAACATCCAGTCCTTTAAAGATAAACAAGCGATTTTTCTTAACCTTCAGTTTGAAACCTAAAGGCCTAAATTTTCCCGAAATGCCGTAGCATTTTACCAACAAAATGTACAGTCGTCTGGTGACGTACGGACGATGTTGATGACGATAATGATGATTTAGGTTCTGGTGCGCGCTGACTGGGCAGCCAGTCAAAGTGCGGGGGGAGGAAGCAAGTATTTTCCCAAGTCACTGCTACCCTGTCCTTCCCTCAATGTAGTTTTAAACTTAGCTTAACCTCTTTTATCGCCGATAAGACATATGTGATGTGTTCATGCAATCTTACCTGGCGTCTAGCCTCACAGATTCTCGGTGAGACCATCCCGAAAATTAAAGTATGCTCGGTCGGCCACCATCAGTTCTCTCAGATCCTGACATCGAGCTAAACCTGCCTGCTTTGCAAGCCGCGAAAACACCATGTTCGTACGTATGCAACCAGCATATATGGTATTGCACTCCATGCTGTGTGAGATGGGGGCCATGTGACCAGAGCAGATACCGACTGGACGTTCCGCTGCATTCGTAGGTGTCACAACATGGCACCTATGCACAGCTCAGCAGCATAAATAAGCGCACTCTGCTACACACATCACGCCCTTTGTGGGAGCAAGCTCGGATCATAAATCAATCATTGTCTGTCAGAACCTGGTTTATTATGGAGGGGCTGCAGATCGTGGTGTCTTGAACTCCGCACATGCATTTCAATTTTGCATGCAACATTGCATGACGTCCCTTATATTGATAAGCGTTATCTTGCATACATCCACAATTTATGACCCTGACAGCATTGTTCCAGCCGGTTGATGTGCCTTGGAAAAACGAATAAATAATATTCAGTTGTACCATACCTCCATAGCTCTGTGCTGCCAGCAAGCGAGAAGAAACTCGGTTAAGGACACATTTCACTATCCAATGAGCTCTGCTGACAAAACCCCTTTCCTCTCCGCTCTCTGCTCGCGGAAACTGTTGTTTCCTTTGCCTCGCTATTCATTTCACCCCAAGTATTTGAAAGTATCCAACGCCTCTGTAAAATATGTTGTATCAGCGCGCTTTCGCACCTAGCCCCTCACCATGTCTCACCGAGCAATCTCGTCATTGCAGCGATACCGGCGCGCAGTAGAGGGGCCGGGACTGCTCGTGGCCATGTCGGCGGCGCTGCTGGCCGTCCGCCTGCTGGCCATGGGCTCCAAGCCGCCCGAGTTCTCGCCGTCCGACAACCCGGCGGCCGACAGCGACTCGCTGGCGGTGCGGGCGCTCACCTTCCTACACCTGCCGGTCGTCAACCTGGGTCTGCTTCTCTGCCCGAGCACGCTCAGCTTCGACTGGTCGATGGACGCCGTGCCGCTGCTCTCGCCGGCCGACCCGCGCAACCTGCTGACGCTGGCGCTGTACGCCGGCGCCGCGCTCCTGGCGACCAGCATCCTGCGCGGCCTCCACGCCGACCGAAGGACCTACTACGTGGAGCGCGTGCGCACCTACCTGCGCGCGCAGGACGGCGCCGGCTCGGACGCCGAGTCGGAGGCGTCGGCTGCCTCGCAGGCGGCCGGCTTCGGCCAGCTGGATGCCGTCATCCTCGGCGCCGCTCTCCTAGTCATCCCCTTCCTGCCGGCCAGCAACCTCTTCTTCTACGTCGGCTTCGTGGTGGCCGAGCGCGTGCTGTACATTCCGTCGATGGGCTTCTGCCTGCTGGTGGCGGCCGGCTTCCGCGCGCTGCGCGGCCGGCTCGGTCGCCGCGGCAAGATGGCGGCCGCTACGGCCGCTGTCGGTCTTCTGCTGGCGATGGCGTGCCGGACGTATGTGCGTAACCTGGACTGGCGCACGGAGGAGCGCCTGTACCGGGCCGGCATCGCCGTCAACCCTCCCAAAGGTGGGCGCAGTTCTAGGGAAGCGATAGAAATGTCTTACTCTAGCTGGAAAGTTCTCAGGAGAGGGTGTGCTGGACAAAGTGCTTGAAGTGTCTTGATGTGCTTTCGAGCAAAAACTGGCGTGAATGTTTTCGGCCGGGCTGGTTTTCACCAGACATTGCCTGCTCCAAGAAATCTTGGGTGCATTATGAAAATAGCTGTTGCCGAAAGCAGATACTTAAAAGTCCCGTAGTTAATATCAGTTTTCATTGCTCACAACATTTAATTATTTTCTCTTCCACACTTTAAGGAGGTGACTTGATGGAAGTGAAGATTTCGGAGCGCTTTGCTATTACCCGGTGAAGTATACTTTTACGGGTAACTGACGCAGTTTCAACTGCACCCGGAAGCCAGGAATGGCATCTTTACCTTTCCGCTCATCTTCTCCTAGGTATTTCCTCTGACCTACTCGCTCATAACACAGACTCAACTCCACATCCACGTTGACATCAAGTTTCTGACGCTTCCTCTCGACCTCGTCTATGACCATCTAGATTCGAGACCATGTGCCAAATACCATCCAGTTCCCCGCGTGGCAGTCTTCGCCCGCCCCTACTGAACCCATCTAGCAACGATCCTCCCCCTCCCCCCCCCCCCTCATTCAGACGGGCTTCCACAGCATCCCCAATCGGGATAGATAAGCGGGGATGGATGAGAATTCCTCCGTCACTCACACCTCTCCGTCCATACAGCATCAACATGCCGGATATTTTGGGCGTATACGTGAGAGCACAGGGAAACGTCTTGTGTTCGGAAAATCCTTTAGCTGTCATGTATTTAGGCCTCAAATGTTTTCATCAGTATGTGCATTCAGTGCATGCAAGTGCGAAGGCAGATGCAATGGACACATGACAGTATGGGTAGCTCAAACAGGAGTTGACTGAAGAGCCCGCTTAGTTTACAGGGGTTGTGATTGATGAATACCACAAAATTTGAACATTTTTGATGACCTACATGGTCAGGTGGGGGTCTCTGCTACATCATAATGAAAGCTTACAATTCACAAACCATTCTCCTTTGAATATCGTCTCATTGTCATCTCTCAGTTCGTGTGCTTTCTTCTCATTCAGAGCCAGGATGAGTGGCAGTTAAACTACACGTATTTAAGGGGGTCGCATGGGTCTCCTCCCTGAAATGAAATACAGCCTCATGTATTTATCTCAGCTGTTAATAAGTCACAGCACTACTTGACTTTCGCTGTGCTCATTACAAACACTATCTCGGTAATTAGTAGCGACGGAACTTGGCAGCTTTCAATATTTTTTCGAGCAGAATGCGTGCTTAATCAGGGCTGGTGTTCACAACTACAATATGATTGCCATCGGCTTCATCATCAGTCTATGAGCAAACTACGTAATACCCAACAGCCTAATGTTGTAGCAATATATTTTAGTAATATTACAATACAAAACGACGCCTATCTTGTGCTTAAATGCGATATTTGGGTTCACGTTTTTGAGATGAACAACATTGCGCCTTTTGACTGTGCGGAGGGGCGCAGTAGCATCACGGCGCATTTTGAACCGTTATCTCATGCGGATGAATTTAATTTTTGGAAAAAAGACTGCCACCATTGGACTTAAACAACCTTAAGCTACCTGACTATACACCCAACTCAGTTTTTATTCTTGAAATGTCCGATTTGCTTAAGCTTAACTTTTTACTCGTATTATAACTGCGTGTTCCACGCAAGTGCGTTTTTGAGCTAAACGCGACCTGTTCGCATTAATCCCGATTTCTTAAAGTTTTTTTCGGTCTCTAATTTCAAGGGGTTTTCCTTTTGAGATAACCAGTATTCTTTTTTGACATCATTCTAGTCTGTGCCAGTGTATCGAAGAGCTCTCGATGTTCCACATCATGTCGCTTGTTCAAAGTGTGCTAAACCCGGACAATCCCGCCGATATGACATAAATGGTTCATAAATCATAGGGAGATGCTGACTTCTCATTCTATGGTCGTCAGACGATCTTTTATTTGTTTGGACACGAGCTACGGCCGTTAAGACCTCTGGCATACTTGATCTTCCATTTAGATATTCCGGTAGCTATTTATCACGGCAATTACGGTGGATGCGGCGGCTGCGGCCCTCTAAATAAACAGGATGTCGTTGCCCGGTGAAATGCCTCCATCATTGCTGCAGTGCAGTGGCCGCAGCTGAAGGGGAATTCGAGCAGGGCATTTCAGGTTACGGCGACACAGCGACACAATGCAGATCGAAATGTTAGTGTCAGCTTTGCGCGAGCTGGGATTAACTGCAGCGCTGTAAAAATGAAAGCTTTTGGAATAGGTATTTGACAGTTTGGTTGTAAAGGTGGGTGGGAAGTTTCTGATACGGGAAAATATGCGAGAATGATGTCTGCTTTTGGCTTACAATGAATGACCTGTTTCAGTGATGCATAGGTGCCAAGCCCCCGCGAAAGCTCCCCGTCGTGTTGTGCACCCTACCCGCTGTACAAACATGCGGCTTTCTGTCCACAGCGTACGGCAACTTGGCCAACATCCTTAGCTCCAACGGCATGAAGGAGGAGGCGGAGCGGGCTTACAAGCGGGCTCTCTCCTACCGCTCCAACATGGCTGACGTTCATTACAATCTGTAAGTGTTGACGTAGACTGTATCCTGTACAGTGTTGACCAAGCCACAGCGTCATTAGGGCACCCGCACCACTGCTCGCCGTGGTATCCGCCGATATGACGAATCTGGACCTAGGCACAGTCTTACCACCGTCAGTCTGGCAGTCCTCCCGAAACCGTACAGGCTACACGCGAAGTCGGCGAAGCATGCGTGTTCAACCATCGCTCCGACTAGGGACTTTACCCAAATCCGATCAGTTACACTGTGCAGCAGCAGCAGCCGAGTGACTGTGTGTTACGGACAACAGTGCGGTCATTTTCGGCTGTCCTACACGACTTGCTCTCGTTCAGGCAGTTGAAGGCCGGCAACGGCGCCTGACAGGCGCCTCGTGTCCGGAGAAAGTCGGCCGCAGCACGTGACAGGCCCTCTGGCTGATTGTGTACCGGCCTGCGCCGCGACACGACATCTTCGGGGGCGACCGAAAACTGCACCAGGTTGTCCGGCTGATTAGTCGGCTAGTCAGTGACATCCGTGGGGCTGCTGTCACCTGGGACGTGCCGACAGCGCCCGGTTTCCTCCAGCGACAGCATGCAGCGACCGCACCGTCCGCCGGCTGTCGCTCGGCGACGGGGCGGAGGCGGCGGACGTGCACGACAGCGGACAGTTGCGGCGAAAATGTGCCGCTGCTGCACGCTCCGTGATGCCCGCGCAGGGTTGCCATGTTCCCAAGCACTAATGACCGCGATTATCCGCCGATATGGAGATGAAGTCCACCCACAGAGACATTTTGCTGTTCTGTCTGCATGTGCAGACCCATGGCGGAGACAACGATCACCAAACGGTCCCTCATAAAATGTTATGACATGTACCTGCGACTAATTAGCAGCGCGACGCTGTGGGTTAGGGATCGGCCGTGTACAGACCGAAATTACAAACCGGCGATTAATCCCCTGCAAAGGATCAGACGGTATTAAGAAGGCGATAATGTCTTTTTCAGGGGGATTTTATATCAAGAACAGAAACGGTACGATGAAGCTCTTCAGTCTTATGACAAGGCAATTCAATATCGTCCGAGGATGGCCAGTAAGTGTGATTATCCACATGATTTATAGACTCAACCGTGTCCGATTAATACACATGTAAATATGAACCATCACTGTTACACGTCTGTGCAGATGATCCATCTTGCAAGAGTGATCCTAACGACGAGCATTAGCTTCCGGGGGAGAAGCCCGCCTGATGATTCAGAAGTGGTGCCACTGTGCAGCGCTCATGTCCGACACACACCGCACCCTCTCCCGCGTCAGCACCGACGCCTCCGCACGCGCGCGGCCTGGCTCCGAGCTCGCTGCTGCTCACGCGCGGCCGGCCGTTCCCAGTGGCGCACCTGAACAAGGGGCTGGTGCTGGGCCTGTCGGGACAGCGCGAGGCAGCTGCCGCCGTCTACCGGCACTGCTCCACGCTGGACGGTGCCGGCCTCAAGGACCCACGGACGCACGAGGCCACCAAAATATCAGCTCTCTTCAACCTGGGCCGTCTTCACGCCGACGAGGGCAGCTTTCGGCAGGCGATTGCCGTGTACCAGGAGGCCATCGAGCGGATGCCGGCGCACTACCAGCCGCAGGTTAGTGTGGCGGGTCTCCCTCAGTCAGTAGACGGTGTTGAGACGGCGGCACCCCGCTGCTCGGCCTCTCCCCCCCCCCCTCTCTCTCTCTCTCTCTCCCTCTCTTTCTCTCTCTTTCTCCTCTCTTTCTCTTCTCGTCTCTGGTCTCTCTCTTCTCTCCTCTCTTTCTCTGCCTCTCTGGCCCTTCTCTCTCCTCTCCCTCTCTGTCTCTCCCTCTCTGTCTCTCTCTCTCTCTCCCTCTCTCTCCCCCTCTCACCCCCCCCTCTCTCCTCTCTCTCTCTCCTCTCTCTCTCTCTCTCTCTCTCTCTCTCTCTCTCTCTCTCTCTCTCTCTCTCTCTCTCTCACCATATGTGCTTACTGCCGACAGGTTTGAGTAGCGTTCGCAGTTTGGATAATGCAATGTTAGGATGCTTGTCGTGATTTAAGTGCTCGCGTTGTGAACAACAAACGTGCGCGTGCAAGCACGTGAGAAAAACGCCACAACACGAGTACTGCACCTGCTGCACTCCGTGCTCGGACAGTCCGCCACCCTACTCGGCGCGCATCTGGCCGCGGGTGGCTGCCCTCGCCCCCGTTCGCTCTGCCTGATCCTGGCTCCGTGCGTCGCCAGAGTCTGTACAACATGCTGGGCGAGGCGTTCTTCAAGGTGGACAGGCTGTCCGAGGCCGAACACTGGTACAAGGAGGCGCTGCGTGCCAAGCCCGATCACGTGCCGGCGCACCTCACCTACGGCAAGCTGCTGGCCAAAATGGTAGGCGGCGCAGATGGGCGGATCGGGTGGGTCGCCTGCTGCCACGCGGCTTATCTGGCCGAGCTCCTCGCGTGAGGTAACACCTTGTTAGTTGTGCCAGGGATGGACAGAAAACTGATAAAAGCTCTCTGTCGCCATGGCAGGGCCCACCAGGTGTTCGCGTCTTAGGGAGCTTGTAAGCATCCGCGGAACAAGATAGTGCTTCAGCTCCGCAACAGGCTGTGACATTTATACTTGGCACGTCCTCGAGTCAAGGCACTTCAATTGTGCACGGCGTTTTTACCTCTCATTTTGATAGGTCTCGTTGCATCCGCAAACAGTACCGCGGCGGACGCGGCGTGCTTTAGATTGTAAAAACTCAAAAAACGCCTTTGAGAACTGTGTTCAGCTGCTCAGCGCGCCATGTTCTCGTCAGCTCATGTCATCTCATCTGCCATCTCGACCATGTTCCACGTTGACGGCTTGTCACTAAACGCTCAAAAAATCACTGCATAACACCCCTAGCCTGTCACAGGAGACGAAATATGCATTAGCGCCATAACCAGACAAAACTGGATTGTCCCGCAGCTGTGCTAGCAGTGTCCAGGGAAGCGGCGTTACCGCAGATTGATGCCTCAGATGAAGCGCAGACACGGCCACTTTTCCCGATCAGACTGAGTGCACGTCTTGTATGTGGTTTGCCACCCAAGGATCATCCGGTCTTGAATCATCAAAAAGCGGCCGCCGAACTGGGACCAGATATTTTTCGGGGAACAGATGGACAGTGGATGGTTTCTATGGCTGGGAACAGCCTGATGCTGGCTACGTTTTGTGGCTAGAAACAGATTGATGCTAGGTAGGGTCTGTGGATGTTAATAGATTGGTTTCCGAACGGCTGCGTGGCTGTGAAACCGGATGATACTGATCAGGGTTTTAATCTGGAGACAGGTGTACTTTGGGCAAGGCCTGTGGCTGGAAACAGGCTGCCGCCAGCCAGGCTAAGACCCTCCGACCCCGCTCTGTTCCGTGACCGTTCTGTGACCCTCCGCACGGCTCTCAGGGTCGACCTGCTGAGGCAGAGGCCTGGTTCGTCAAGGCGATGGAGCTGGCGCCCAACGACCCGGTGGTTTACCAGCATTACGGTAAGTGACAATATGGTTCGGAGTGATCGATGGGGCATCCCAACGCTGATGGCCAGCGAGGGACGGTAACTGCAATGCGTCATGTGATGGTAACCCGACATATGCCGAGACTGCGCGGGGAACACCGACATAACACCACCGGTGAACTCTGACGTTTATCAACTCGTGCGACACCGAGCGCAAACTGGGGTATTGTGACCTGCCACAGAGGTTGGCTTCTGCTGTGATGTTAGTGGTCGTATCGATACTCAAAACAGCATGACTGTTCTCACTCTTCACCTTCATTGCTTTGCCAAAATTTCATGTTCCTATCGGTTTCGGACAGGAGGGAAAGAGAATCTTTTTGCAACGATGCATGCAGACTCAAGCACCCAACAGCACAGCCGAAACACTCCGCAACAGAGCCAGGTCACAAAGACCGTACATGACCCCATCGATTCCTCACCACCCGCACCAGAGCCAGGTCACAAAGACCGTACACGACCCCCATCGATCCCTCACCACCCGCACTCGCCGTGGCCCTGCCTCCTGTCCATACAGATCCCTGAGCCGCCAGGCGGCGCGCCTCAACAGCCAGTCGCCCGGGGCCAGAGGTGGCCGGCCGGCGCGGAGGAGAACCGGTACCCTCCGCCTGGGGCGGCGGCGGCGGCGGCGCCGGGGTCAGCCGGCCGCCGCGCCGGTGACACCGGATTGGCCGGCGCGCGACACAGTCCGGCCGCCCTCTGCGTGACAGAAAATCGAAGAAATTAAAAAGCACTTACGGACGGGTCCGTGGGAGCGGCGGCCGGTGATTACTGTAATCCCGACTCTGATTAGGCTGGACGCAGCCCGCGGCCTGCCGCGCTGACTGCGCTATTTGCATATGGCGGTCCGCAGCCGAAACGGTGTGGGAAGGACGGCCGGCAGGCGCAGGCGCCGTGACCCTGGCTGGGAGGGGATGGTGCTGTGACCCTGGCTGGGAGGGGATGGTGCTGTAACCCTGGCTGGGAAAGGATGATGGTGTGACCCAGGCTGCTGTGACCCTGGCTGGGAGGGGATGGTGCTGTGGCCCCGGCTGGGAGGGAATGGTGCTGTGACCCTGGTGGGGGGTGGATGATGCTGTGACCCTGGCTGGGAGGGGACGATGCCGTGACCCTGGCTGGGAGGGGATGGTGCTGTGACCCTGGTGGGGGGTGGATGATGCCGTGACCCTGGCTGGGAGGGGATGGTGCTGTGACCCTGGCTGGTAGGGGATGATGGTGTGACCCAGGCTGCTGTGACCCTGGCTGGGAGGGGATGGTGCTGTGGCCCCGGCTGGGAGGGAATGGTGCTGTGACCCTGGTGGGGGGTGGATGATGGTGTGACCCAGGCTGCTGTGACCTTGGCTGGGAGGGGATGATGCTGTGATCCTGGTTAGGAGGGGATTATGCTGTGACCCTGGCTGGGAGGGGATTTTGCTGTGACCCCGGCTGGGAGGGGATGGTGCTGTGACCCTGGCTGGGAGGGGATGATGGTGTGACCCAGGCTGCTGTGACCCTGGCAAGGAGGGGATGGTGTTGTGACTCCGGCTGGGAGGGGATGGTGCTGTGACCCTGGTTGGGAGGGGATGGTGCTGTGACCCTGGTTGGGAGGGTATGGTGCTGTGACCCTGGTTGGGAAAGGCAGGTGCTTTAACCCCGACTGGGAGGAGCAGCTGCTGTAAGGATAGCTGGGATAGGGAAAGACTGAGACCCTGGCTGAGAGGGGCAGACACTGGGCCCTGTCTGGAAGGGGCAGCTGTTGTGACTAGGACTGGTGTGGGTGGGTGTACTGAGTCTAGTTGGGAAGGCTAGCGTCTCTACTGGCAAGGACCTTTTACATCCGCCCGCCGGCAGTCGCGTTTGGTGAAGGATGAAACACCTGTTCGATATTGGTAGCTGATCTGCTCCTACAGAGAGGGAACCTGGGGTGATGCCGTCTGAGAGGGAAAGATGGTATGTCGATCCTGTTCCATGAGGACGACAAGCTGCCATTCCCCATTTTTGTTCGTCAATTCTTTCAAACGTCTTCTGTAGGGTTGATAACTGCGCGATGTCCGGTGAAACCTCGTGTAGCCCAGGGACGTCTGCTGATAGCGATAATGATGAAAGAGTAGGCTGATTCTTGGGCTACTTGGTTTCATTTTTTACGAGTCGGTGATTATTTGCTCCTTCCATTCCCAAGATTCTTCCCTGTCATCGCCAACGCGTCCCAGCTAGAGGGCTGGAATCTAGTCATATTCCCCATCATTTCCCCACATATCCCGTTACAGCTTCCGCACCCTGCATTTCCGAAGGTTCCAGCCAGCAGCCTGTACTAGCGGTAGACTCAGCCCTCTAAATTTCATGAGACATTGGAAAGCCCTGAACCAATGGAAGCTCATTTACCCGGTTAACGGACCACCAGACTCAGCCCGGGTGGTGAGATAAGTCCGCGGATCCGTCAGACCTGCTGACAAGCCGTGTCTCACTTTGGCCGTGTGTATGATTGATTGCTACAGCCAGTTTTTTGGTCCGTTTGATAAACTGATGATACGTTGTCAGGCACCTGATAAAGTACTAGAGGAATGACTTGCTGTTCTGAACACAGATGACTGATGACCGCTGTTGTCATTCATCTGTGGGCTGCTGGTGTTGGGATTGCATCGTTTTTAATGACTGGAACCGGGAAAATGTAATTAACCCTAATTTGACGGGAATGACACATCTAAAACTCTTATAAGATCGTCATCTGTCCATTAGGATATTCCCTTAACAGCAATACGTTGTTTTCCGTTCCTCTATTGCCGCCTATACAATACAACAATCTTCATCCTTGAACTAGGGGTAAATCTGTCTTGTGTATTCTGTTAGCTACTGTTCATTCAGTCTTAAGCTGGGTATGTTTTCAAGCGTACAGATACCACCGCTTTTTAAAACGGCTTGCGATATCTTATTTCAACTTTCTCTGAGTTCAGCAAAAGTTCGATAAACCTGCCTTTTAACAACAACCAAATATTGTAAAAAGTTTATAGGGGTGGTATCCTCCAGCCGATGCAAGAGCGCGTCCGATCAGCAGTACCGTCCGACACGTTGGTCGCACGGTAAAGTTTAGAGCCAAGTCGCTGAAAATCGCTGTGATTCGCACTTTGAGATGTTACTGAGTGGGCGCCATTGTCCAAGCGCGAATGCCTCCAGAGCAATGGCACAGCATTACCTATCTGAAGTGATATGTTTTTGCATAGTGCAGCTTACGCAGGGAGCCGGACAAATCCTTTGTTTTGAAGTCATTGACCGGAGGGTTTCATTCAGTGTATCGATTAACAAGCTGGTCCAAAGAATCTGCGTGAACTTCACAAAACTGACCGGACTCGGGTTTGCAGAACTTAATGTAGTCTAATTGCCGCTAATTTAATGGAATGGATCGGGGCTGCCTCGGAATTGGGCATTTCCTTCATCGTCCTTTGCTGATTTTCAAAGGTTTTCTTATTTGAACGCATTTGCTGGCCATTAACGCCAGTACATTCGTTTTGTAAGTTATATGGTCCATTTGGATGGCATCCGTCGCGATGTGGATCATTTTGTGCGCTGCTATAGGTAGCTACTTTTGTATTCTTTCGACGAATAGTCATTTGCGTGCCAATCTTCACTCAGGGTGCTCACCATTTACACGGGGTATCCCACTATTATTTTGACCTGCTATCTGTATTACGTACTTAGCAGATGATTAACTGGCAGATAACTTTTCTGTCAGGTCGGTGGCATACGTTAGTATCTGTCTGCTACCATATAATAAATAAGATATGATATTGCAATATCATTGAAACATTATTTTGTTTCTAAATCAGTTACAGACTACCGGGTAGCCAATTATGTCGCCCGCAGCTACATTGCGTATAATGTCGTGGAGAAGAACGGACCTGCCCAACTTATTCATTGTTTCAGTTTTGTTGGAACACGCAAGAAACTACTATTTCAAAGAGCAGATTGCCATTCCGGAATGTTCTGAGCAATTATTTCAAAGCGTTATGGAGTAAAATTCCGCCGTAACCTACTGCTATTTAGTCCTCGTCTTCCACTGGCCAAATGCTGAAACAAAAAGCACTGTAGAGTTATCTCAGCACAAAAGGAAAGTCCATGGAAAAAATCGGGGCGGAATGCTGCATGTATCCATGCCTTAATCTATACAATGTTGTTCATAAGCCCCGTTTACCCTCACTATAGTTTTGGCTTGAAGATATGATCTGTTGTTACCTCTTTGAAAGCTATTGCTGTCCACGTATTTGCGGTAAAAAGCACACGTTAACATGCAAACATAACACGCGTTATTATGAGCACAGTCGCGTTGTTCAAAAATTTCAAAGATTGTGCGTAAAGTACGTCAGCTGTTAACAGCGGTCTTGCTCGTGAAAGTGTGCACGGCGAGAGTAAATGGCCACGCAGTGATTGTCATTGCAATGGTCAGCTCGATTTCAGTAGTCGAGACCGGATCATTCATGAATCCTCTAAAAGCGTGACTTCTTTGGATACCTTCTCGGTCCCCTCGCCTAGGCGAGCCGGTTATCGGCATAATGCACACTTACAATGTTATGGGGATCAAGTCTACCAAACTCGCTTTACAGTTTTTTTCGGAATATAGCAGACATTTTCGTTGTGACGAATAGTTGCGCGGCTCCGACAGATTCAGCCCAGCCTGAACTGTTCCCATATTTGCGATGACTGTTTGTGCAACCTTGACGCAACGCGGCGTCCCGAAGGCTGGCACATTTTAGAGCACCTACACTCTCTTAACAACTAGTGGCGAATACGTGAGCTGCACTTCTATTCCAAGTCATATGTGCTTAAAATGAACGAAGGCACGGAACCCAGTCATAGCTTGACTCTGGTTCCCCTTGTTACTGTTTGAATTATTCAAAATTTGGACTAAACAAATGATGCATGTGTGTATTTCGACCGGCGTATGCGGTCGAATGCAGTTCAAATACACGGCGTTATAATGAAACCATCTCGCGCACAACTACCTGT